GTTTTCTAACAACAAAAATAAATTACACATATTATGACCCCTTGACATGGGATACTTAAAAAAGCAATGGCGGACATGATTTTTCCTTTTAAATTTAGGAATCAACCTAAAAATGTTTTTTTATCGAGTAAACATAATAATAATATACTGCGACATTACAACGTAAAAATATTGAAAAAATATTTTTCATAATAATTAGTTTTATATTTTGCTCTTTGGGATATGATATATTATGTATATTAATGTTATATTTTAATGTATTAGTTTTACACGACTTATGTAAATCATAAAATAAATTCGTTCCAGTTTTCTTTTTCAGTTCTTTACAAAAATAAATTTTATTTAAAAAATATTATCCTGACATTGACAGTCAAGTACATTTTGTGTGATAATGGATAGTATACATAAGTGGATCGTGCAATTTTCGCGCATTTACTAACAATCGGATGGAGCAATCATGACGATCTATTTGCCAAAATGACCTAAAAATTCGGACAGTAATTTGGGTGTTGACTATATGATAAATTATTATCGGTATATTTCTTTTGTACTAATATACTTGTGTGTGTATAATGAAATTTAAAAAAATTAATGCATTTTACTATTAAAGAAAATCGATAGTGTATTTTTAAACTATGACAGATGTTTGTGATTTAGTTCAAAATAATACCATTCCATTGTTCGGTATTTTTATTTTTTCGGCGTTAACAAACTGAGAGTAGTTCAAAACGATTTCCAAAAGCGTATTGAAACAATCGTCTCGCGTTTCACATTGGAAGTGCTATGGTCGCATGTCAATGCACTGACCTTTTTATACACATAACAACATGTGTATAAACACATGTTGTTGCATTTATGCAACAACGCATAAAACAATTAATACACCGATAATATTGTGCATCTTAGATCACTAATTGCGGTTAAGAGGCGACGGTTGTACTTTTAGGTCCGAGACGAACTTAAACGTTCGACGAATTACATTGACGAGTGGATACATTGTAACAATAAAATTGTTTACATTTCAGATGTCTAATTGAATTTTGCCGCCGTGTAAAAGCAAAATACCTTCTTTGGGCGGAGTGGAAAAAAAATGTCAGAATGAATAATTCATTATTCACCCTGTAAACCTCTTGTAGACATAAACCTATGTAATAATGGTGTACTGTTCGAAAACGAATGCCGACCGTGTTAGGTTTTGGTCGGTGTCGCGGCTACAACAGGTGTTCGTTGCATACGCCCAGACTGCATTAGGCTTCTAGTTCTACCGTTGTTTCAACCGGCGTAACCCCCCCCCCCCTCAAAAATGCACTGTCATTGTTGTGCGTTTTGACACCTCGTATTTCGGCTTGGTAATAATAACTATTTGTCTAAGGCCAGAGTGGGTGGACAGACGCTGTCGAAACAGTCGAGCGGGTATTTGAATATTACCAAAATTGCTTCATATCCCTTAGAATTTATTACATATTTCAGCCGGGGCATAGGGGAGGGGAAACCAAAAGAAATAGTCAATAACTCAATGCGGGTATGATACTCGCACTGTCTCACTCGTTAGTGACAGCCATGTTGCTAAATGTTGAAAATATTTCATAGAAAATGTCGAATAATGTACTAGGGAAAATGAGTTTCTTTATAATTCGAAAATTTTAGACACACTAGTGGTGTCGTAAGAGACGGTCCAGTATATTTTTTAACATCGAATGGTACCGGCCGACATTAAATTTATGTTTTGTTAAATGTCAAAAAGCTTATATAGTGGTTCGGGTATATTTTTACTTGAAACAAGAAACCTAACGCGAGTGTTCTCTCAGCCCTAGACACTCTAAACAGTCCTTTTAACCGCTATACATTATAGCTAATGGACGTGTTCCGAGACCAAATAGTATTTATTATTTTAAAGAAGTTAATTTTTCAAAAAAAAAAAAGTTAGTTTGCGGTAAAAAATATTTTAGGAAGACCAAATTTAGTAATTTCTCGTACGTCGCGGTTCTTGTTTTTAACAAGTATGTTACTTTGATGCACTTTAGTGAGTGTAGTGATTACTAAAACTCGACGGATTTAGAGCAAAAAAAAAACAATAGTAACAAGGATACAAAAAAATACCGCTTCTAAAATGAAATCGTACATAATCACAGGTTGTGCTTATAAGCGAAAAATACATTTAAGCTAGTAAGAAGCATACTTGTAAAGTGTACACAGAAGAATCCCTACAGCATTCCATTAAACCGAAATAGCTGGACAGGCAACTTTGTAAAGTCATTTATTTATAGTCGTTTATGTAAAAAATAAATATTTTGCTTTTTTATCGGTCATGCGCAAGTGTCATCGTAAAAAAATAAATGTATGCAACAGTACCTAGGCATTTACTTTTTTTTTTAAATCAATTAATCACAGAATAGACAAATCAGTCCTATATACCATGTACACTGGTAATACCGTTGGTTTTTTCTTTTGGATGCCAATACAAAGTAGCGTTGTCGGCAATGATTTGCATAATATTATAATATATCTTTGCCAATTATCAAACTGTCAAATATTATAGCTAAACGCGTCCTGTGGTAATAGTACCTATGTGCCAAATCCTTATGCATAACATACGTGTACAAGTGCTTATAATAAAACAATAACAATATTATGTTACCGCGAAGAGTACCCGTTATGAGATAGGATAACCCTAGCAAACACACAGCTTATACAACTGTCTACACATAATATACCCATCATATTACACGGTAATGTCTTCAAAGAGGTCAGATTATCTACGGACGCCGTTAAACATATGGTGAAATACGTTAGTTTATACACTTCTATGAAACTATTAAATTGTTTTATACTACATATCGACGCCCCGTACGAAAATTAGCACCGTTCAAGTTTTAGCGAAAACTAACACCGTTCGAGGCTTCTTACGAAAACTGCACCGTTGGCAACAATGGGGACAATAGCACGAACGGTGCTACTTTTCGTACGGGGCGTCGACATATCCATTCTAACTATATTTTTATTAGGTATATTGTATTGCTTAAAAGGGTAAAAAATATTTAAAATGTCAAATTTGACAACAGCGTTACCTATTAGTTAAAATTTTAATTTAAATTAATTATTTTTTATTTACTCCAATTATATAACTACTGTAATATTGTTTTTTTTTTTTTGTAATGATCATCTTATTGTCTCATTGTCTGTACCCATCAATCGCTTGTGTTGTTTTACTAAAATTTATATTTGTTTATGAATAAACATAAAGGCAGCAGAAGACCAATAAAACACTTTTAGCTGACAAGTCCTGAAATAGTGTGTCTGTTTCAAAAATATTGTCAAACTGTGACTTATTATAACTTTTATAGAAAATAATTTCAAGACGATCATTTAAAAATGCATACAATTTATAACGCAAATAAAAATAATTATCTACAATTTTAAAGACTAAAAGTTATTATACCCTATAAGTTGAAAAACGCTCTCGAAACAAACAAATTAAAAACTACGGCATACTATGATTTTTTAAAATTGCACCACTATAATAATTATACTATGGTCCAAACCAAAGAAATATCATTCATTTTACAACCATCATTAATAATTTTAGATTATTAGAAATTAGATATTTACGTAATAATCGTATTGCAATAATGACTTTAAAAAAAAAATTTACCATATTTTTTAGATTTGCACTGAATAAAGAAACTAAGTTAAAAGTCAAACAAGCATACTAATGAAAATTGCACGTATACGTACATATGTTGTCTGTGTATATTCAAGTGTATTTATTATTTTTGTATTTATTTGTTTATTTATTTTATTTGTTATTCGTGCCGGAAATTAAAATTAAATTCTAACTAGAAAATCGAAAATACTATAATATACTTTAAAAAGTATTTATATGATGTATAAAAAAAATTAAAATTGTTTATAAAAAGTATAAAAATGTTTTGTCAATTCTATTGTCGAGTTTTGTGTAACGTTTTTTTCTTCCATGTCCAAAAAATTCCGGTCAAACAATAAGTCTCCGTGCTTAGCTTCTGTACAGAGCTAAAAAAGTTGGTCGAGGTCTATTAATTTGTTTGTTCAATCTACTGATTCTACCTTCAACAACATCATATGTTGTGTGTCTTTTTTGAATAAATTAACAGACAAAAAAGTGACCACAAGTGCCAAAAAGGTAGTGACCGCGAATGTGCCGACCGCATCTGCGCTGACCCCTTTTATTTTATTCAACTCCTAACTGTAAAAAGAAATATACATTTCAATACCGATAACTAACTACCAAGAACCAAGATGAACTTAGTTAATACTTATTGTTTTTGTAGGCATATTATTCACTTATGATTATTTCAGTAATTAACTATAATGTAACTTGTATGTTATCACTGACATTTTACGAATAATGTCCCTAAATTATGAAAATTCATTGACACTATAATGGATACTCGTTAATTGTAAAATAAAAGACCATACTTTTTGTGTGGCTCTTTTTAAGTTTGCTCCCCACAACTCATCTTCAGCTTAACAGGCCTTAAAGGCTTAACGTTGCCACCATGATATAATGGTTTCTAGACGGAATTATTATTTTTAAAAAATAAAATAAAATTCTTGTCATATTCTTGTTAATGAACTATTATATTCTCAGTATAATTATATATTGTATAAATCGTTGTACAATTAGTTAATTGTTTTTTAAATGTGTACCGCAAAATAAATGGTTTCAAATAATGTTTTATTTTCGACTATAGTCTATAACCCATTCAAAGTAAACGGTATTTGCACCGAGCTGGTCGCTGCTCGATCGGCGTATTATGACTATAACTTCGATAGACTTAATGTGTGACAAAGTGGGGTTATGTAAAGGGTGGTCGGTCGTACCGTCAAAAATGGAATCCGATTGGTTTAGAAGTTCATTCACATCTTGAATAAAGCATATTTATACTATGTAAACACGATTAACCACAAAAATATTTTTAACACGTAATTTCAGAAAATGTGACGTGCGTCAAAACTGACTATAAAAAGATAACTTAAGTATTGAACTGTACCTATTAATGTTTTTTTGAGTTTGTGTTCGTTTAGTCTACAAACATCAAAAAAGTAAGTAACATTTAAAATAATTTTCCTTCGTAAGACAATGGTACGTTTTTATAATTATTCGTAAATTTTACAGTATCAAAAAAAAAACAGAATTAGTGTTAATAGGTTTCCACACTTTTTGCACGATATTGTGCGATTAGAATATGTATTCTGTGAAGTGTTATAATTTTTAAAATTGGATTAAATCTAATCCAATTTAGAACAAATCTGTTTATAGCTATTGGTATTCCGAAAAAAATACATAAACCGAAAACGTGGTCAACAACACGTTATTTGGATCAAACTTTCAATTTTATATCAGCATATAATATATATATATATATATATATACTTATTTTATACTAATAGTTATGTCTGTCGATGACAAAACTATTTATAATTTGTGTTATGGGGTATTTTATTGTTTTAGGCACTTACGATGAAATCAAACATAACAAGAATAGGTCTTGTGTTACTTACCGTGTATTTCTTTGGTCTTTTTGTAAGTACATTATTCATTTCGGACTAAATTTTAACTATTTTACAGTAAAAGTTGAATTTGATCCTATCATTAAACATTTTAGTACCTAGCACAAAATATTGCTTTTTTGTACAATTTTGAATGGAAAGAATTATGGTTATATATATTTTGCCTTTATGCTATGTTCCCTAAGAATGCTAAACTGTTATACTTTAATACAATTGATATTCAATGAAAGTTGACAAGGATTTTATGGTACTACTAATATTAATGATATTATGGATGTCTTTCAGATTTCATTGAATAGTTCGCCATCAGGCGAAGACGATTCATCGAAAAAAGCACCCCAATCGATAATAAACTATACAAAAAATGTAAGTCACTCAAAATACTTTGTACTCATATAGGGCAATCACTAATTTTTTCCAGCGCTTCTTTAAGTTCATAACTATTTTTCTTTAACCTACCTTAAATGAAACTGCAAGACTGATGTACTTTATTACATTGGGTATTTGACGACAGTCGACAAGAACTCTATGATACTGCTAATAATACTAATGTTAATATGTGGGTTTTTCAGATTGCATCTAAAATTGCGCCCGTTCTAAAAAAATTAAAGAGATCATTGTCCGGCAATACTTTGCCCCGATCTGTATCAAACCTTAGAAATAATGCTGACAGTAAAAATGTAATAACAAGTGTAATAGATGGTGGTTTTTTAAACAGCTGTGAGTATTAAAAACATATTTTTCTCTATTAAGCAAAGCGAAAACAAGGGTATTAAAATGATCCAATTTCAATACTGTAGAGACTACTGCTTTTTTATTGGAGTTATTAGAAACTTTAGTTAATACTCAATTATACTTAGAAAAACCTAGCTGATAAAGTATACATAACCGAAGGTAATAGTTTCAAAAGATCTCTAAAAAAATGTACTTTTTTGGAATAGTAGAAATTATAGTGTGGAATTATTACAGAAGGTAGATTTAGAGTATATACATAGAAATTTAAATTTAGAATAATATCCCTATTCAACATCATATTTTTGGGCAAACATTAGTGAATTTTATCTATTTCCAAAACCTAAACTTATAAATGTCTGTAACTTTGTGAAAATGTTCGTAACAAAGAGCTGTCAAGCCAGCTTGAAAATGTTGTATTCAAAATAATGGTTGATTAAAGAAAAGCGGGTTTTTGCCTACAGTTCAATTTCCTTACGTTTAGTACATTTACAAGACCAAACTTAAAATGTTATTTTTAAACAGGTTTCGCGTCAAAACTAGACCGAGATGTTACTCGTGTGGCTCTCGAGGCAAGAAGCTTAATATTAGAAGGCAAAGTTGATGAAGGACGTAATGCTTTATTCAAAATAACAAAAACTAAAATAGTTAACCATCAACAAAATAAATATGAAACTATGTATGATAACACAGATATGTTTGACAAAGACATAAACGAGGTCATCAATTTGTTCGAAACAGACGTGAAAGCAGGAAAATGAATTTTAAATTTTAAATTAAATACAAAGGTATTGTTGACTTGAAAATAATAATAATTTTGCTTTATTTGTTTGGAGCTCTTTATTCATTTAACATAATAAACTATAAATTAAAAATTGTTGTTTATATTTTAATTTATAAGATATTATTTTTTAGTTAAACAATATACATGACATATTTCCCGACAATTTGATTTACTTAATTTGGCCAAAATTAACATTTATTATCTATTGAACTATAAAATGGTAACCTAAGTGTTTACTGTAATTATTAGTGTTCTATGGTATTTATAAACTCTAAAGATATCAATCAAAAATACTAGACCGGAAATAAACCTAGTGAGTGTACCTTGTATTGTGATGCAACTCCTAAAGAACAAAATATATATTACTAAGGGAAATAACGAAATGTGTTATAGTGTTTTACATACCAGTTAACAGAGCAAGGGTTGTAGTTCATATCATTAGCTAATCACAGAATGCTTTGCGAGCTCATTTTCTAAATAGTTCACAGGACGATGTTTTTTTTTTTACCAAAAATTGTAAATAGCTCAATATCACTTAGTCGTTAAGACTTTAAATAATGTAAATTGCTACTGTCAGAAGGTATACTTGGCTAATAACCACAGATGTTGAAGCCGTAAAATAAATTGAAAAAATAGTACTTCTGAAATGAAATCGTACATAATCACAGTTTTTACCTATAGGCGAAAAATAAATTTAAACTACTTAAAAAAAATACCTGTAGGCTGTACTGTGCACACAGATGAACCCCTACAGCTTTCCATTGAACCAAAATAGCAACTGGGCTGGCAACTCTGTATAGTAATTTATTCATAGCCGTTTATGAAATAAATTATTTTTTTATTTTTTTTATCGGTCATGCAAAAGTGTCATCATTAAATAATAAATTTATGCATCGGTACCTAGGCGTTTATTTTTTGTTTTAAATCGATTAAACACAGTATAGATTAATCAGTCCTACATACCAAGTACACTGGTATACCGTGGGTTTTTTCCCTTGGGTGCCAATACAAAATAGCGTTGTCGGAAATAATTTGCATAATATTATAATATATCTTTGCCAATTATCAAACTGTCAAATATTATAGTTCAACGCGTCCTGTGGTAATAGTACCTAAATGGCTATATGACAAGTACATTTTGCATTACTTACAGGCTCTTATAATAAAACAATCACAATATTATATTACCGTGAAGAGTACCCGTTATGAGATAGGATAACCGTCGCGAACGACATGATCTATACACCTATAATATACCCATTATATTATAGGCAATACGATAATGTCTTTAAAGAGGAAACCGATCATCTACGGACACCGTTAACGGTAAAAAAAATTAGTTGATACAAATAAATTGTACCCACGTATCCTACCCATAAAAAAAAATTGTTTTTACCTATGAAATTACCGTTTATGAGGCTCGTCCTCTTCCACAAATTGGACCACTTCGTATTTTTTTTCAGCAGAATCGAACTAACATAATAACAATATTATACTTAATAGCCGTTGGACCGGAACCGTCGGCGGCAAGCTGTTGATATTTTTTTTTGATTCTGACATTATTAACCCTTGCCGCTGCATACAAGTATAATATATCCTGTACAATATCAAAAACCTATTGTTTTCCTGGACCTCGCAGCACCTGGCGCGTACGACCTGGTCTCGTCTACGCAGAACTCCGTCCGTTGTAATATTATTACAGAATAGTTTTAGAACTGGCCCATGTGACCAACAGGCATCCACTATGAACCCTTCAGACAATATATATTTATATATATATTATTCGATGTACGTGTACCCTAATTATAACCGAAAGAGAGTTCGTGAGCGCATTAGTCACGCGGCGCGTACCAATAGGTTCTCCGACGTTTGCGCCATTGAGCTCAAATTCAATATAATTATGGTCAACGGTCGGTATCAACATGGTACCGTAACTGGAACCGATTCTGAGTCAAAAATTCAAAAATCTCTTAGAACCTACAGCTCACTGGTTCGCGGTCGAGTCGTTTTTCGCCGAACCTGTTTTCTTAGGCAAAACACAATACATGTTTTCAGATAAGTTGAGTGTACAATAGCATCATATTCCGTTCGTTACTTTCCAAGTGCTAACTATAAAAAATATATCACTGCGAGGTCTGGGTCCCGTACCGGCGGTTATATTAAGTGATCTAACCGCGGTTTAAATGCGCGTGGGCGTTGCCGACAACATGTACAGTAACTTATGTACATATTATTATAATGCTATAAGCCGCCTCATGAATAATACTCGCGGTTGCCGAAACGGACAACAATATTACTTATAAGTTATATTAGATATAGCGTACCTTGTGTATTATGGCAACTGTTAACTGTAATATAATGTTAGGCTAGTTTATGATAACACGATGTGTTAATGTCGCGTGGGAATAGCCGCGTTAATATAATAATAATAATAGTAATAATATACTTTACCTTTCTCCAAAAAAAAAAAAAAAAATCTACTCAAACAAACAGACGGCGATGACGGTAGAGTAAATTAAACTCGCTTTCTAGATTACAATCCATCAGGTCCGCCGGAACGAGCCAGTTTTATTTTATTCTAATGTTCCAGACCCCGTCGGCACTGCCATTAAATAAAGTATGCTCTGTACGGATAACGAGAATAGTAAAATGCAAAACTAACACTAGGAGGATCTGGACCGTCTGGTATTCACAGAGCGGTGTCGAAACGAATGGCTAGACAAATCCAGTACACACCGTAATGTAATGTTGTACTTATTTCGTCTGAACTCAATTATATCTACGTAGAATAAACATTAAGACGTAAAAACCATTTGCTGAAAAGTATTAATTTGGCGAAATGCGATTTGGTAAGTACTAAGCATCAAGTGTTGAGAATTCCCCAGTTGAAAAGTTCGTCAAGGTTCAGCATTAAACACATAATTGTTTTTTTTTTTTATTAATAAACGACCTTTTAATAGTAAATCGGATGAGGCATAAAGTAGACTAAAGTGTGATTGGCTGACGTGGAAAAAGGAAATACCTACTTTGAATTTTATGCCGATTAGATTGAAAGGAAAATTTATAAATTTATAGCGAGGCCCACACTGATGTATGGAATTTAGTGTTGGGTACTGAATACGAGATACGAAAGGAAAAATTGAAGTAGCTGTAACAAGAATGTTGAGCACTGAGCAGGACAATAATCTTTCCTCGTCATAGTATTTTAAAAAATAATTTTTAGATCTCTCCAAAACAATTAAGTGGAAAGTCACAAACTAATGCAAGAAATATTGGTAAAAATGTTTATAGATTACACAAGGTACAGTTGAAGGGAAGAAGCACAAAGAAAGACTTTGTTTATACAAAAAACGATTACAAATCACTAAAGACTAATCAAAATGTGATGCGTATCTAACGAAAAGGACATTTGACGAAAGAAAATGAACTCGAGAAACCAAGGGTCATTGTGGCCTGTAACGCTAGAGAGAAAGAAAAGCTATTAAAGTCAAACCGAAGACGGTCCATTGTTGCTGAACAGATATAACGAACGGGTTAGTTTATATGAAATAATTTTACGGATACAAATTTAAAATTATACAACCGACCAGATGTTTAATTCATAAGTCATAACTACTTAAGGTACTTATCCGATTGACCTTTTAAGCTAAGATAACTGTCGGCAAAAAAACACACGTTTGTAAATTTTTGTGACAACGGGAAATTTTTTTTTTCTCGTTAAACGCTGTGCAATAGTGTGTAAACATGGCGTTGTTTTTTTATTTATGGCTTTTTGATTTGGACAAGATACGGTGGCGGTCATTCGTGTTTCGCGTGTATAATAATATTATTATAGTTTCGACCGTTTCCGGTTTAATGACTTTTCGGCGGCCACCAGAGAAGGCCTACGGGCTTAACCTGCTCGCTGTGTTTGCTCCTGGGCAAAATACTCGAACCAGAACAGTTTTTGTAGGTATCTACACCGAATCGCTTTGTAAAGCAAGTAAAAATCCGAATTAATCTCAAGTACTCCTACATAAAAGCGGCCATTTAAATAAAATATTTATTTTTTAACGTTAAAATTAACACCACATTGCTGCGCTTAAGTACTTGCAAACGTTGTAATGAAACGAGTTCATCTCGGTGTGACGCAACGGTAAATAAAAACAAGATAATATTGAAATCTGCCAAACTCACCGTGCCACCGTGATACCAACAGCTGTTGTGACGCGCGCAACTTCCTAGCTCCTAATAACTGAAATTTCACTGATGCCGTTAAGGACCTACTTGGGCTAAACAAAAGTAATTAATAACTTTCAAAAATAGTATAAAATTATTTACAAATTATGAAAATCCATTTGATATTTACAACAGTGGCATTGTCGCCACACGTCGTCCGTGGAGAACGCGCTGAAAGCAGAAAACGACTTACTGCTTGGTCGCCTCATCGCTTTGACTATTTTTTTAAGACAATAGTTTTTACTTATAACGATAAACGAATTATAAAATAGCAAACAATTTAAAAGCGTTTACGGGCCAGTTAGCACTTGCCGTGTGTCGGTATAAATGTTTTGTGTTTTTATCGCTCAGCCAAAGGAAAGCTTGTGTTTTTCTTTTACAAATACATTGTCTTGCGAAACCGAAGGTATTAAACACAAATAACCATTTAGCGTTTTAAATAATGTACGCAACATTTTTAAATCGTGTGCGTTGAAAAACGATTTCGTACAAGAATTATTATTGTGACCATATTATCACGACGCAGCCGGAAGGGTCAAACGCCACCACCAGAGCAAACAATGAACAGACGTGACAAGGCGGTGTACTAGATAGATAGCAAAGATAATATGAATATAAAATCTCATATATCATATTATTATCAAACACACACAGCCATATAGCGACTAATACTCTAAGCACACAGCACGAGATGCAATTGCAAAACCGTTATCATTGGATAAAAAAAATACAGTATAATAGAAAAGATAAACGATTTTTGATTGGGCATAATACAATATTTAAACGCCATGTGTGCCAGAAAGAAGATAATCTGCACTATAGTTAGGTACGCGGTACACCTGTGTCATCCTC